GTTCTGGTTAAAGAATCTCGAAAAAGAAAGCCAACACGGAAAGTAATTCGTATTCCTACAGAGTTAAACATTCCCTTTGAGTTATTACTTTATTATTAAAAGCGGAGACATATATGTTAAGTTAGAAAGATGCATGCTTGGGTATGGAAACCGACAGGAAGCTAGGAGACACTTAATAGAACTACACTATGCTTGGGCTAGCGTGTATGCGCCGACTGAGAGTAACAACCAAGTTAGTATCTGACCTCTAATAAACTTTTTCTTTTCCATCTCTCATATGTTTCTATTCCGACAAAGTCGTATAAAATGAAATCATATTGATTTTCGAATGATTCCCTCTTACCACATATTAAGGAGCTTTGATATCAGATCCGAGCAGCTTTTCAGATCCTGTGAAAAATCATATGGCTGCAAATAATGGCTGCAACCTTGTATCATATCATATATCCTGACGTTATGTGTTGTCGTAATCTTCCAAATAACGAAAACATGAAGATTTTGTTCTTAATGCTAGATTTTTTTTAAAAGAAATTGTCAAACGGGAATAGTTACAACTGCAATCATCCCTAAGTACAAGCCTTAGATTAGGAAAATTCAAATGTGTGTGCCCATTTCTCAAGATACAAGCCTCATCATGTCTGAATTTAGTGTGGGCATGATCAACTTATCAAATATCTTGTGAACCTTTAGAAATTTGAAAATTGATTACCATTCAGGTGAGAACATGCCAATGCTCTATGTGGATGGAGCTAACTTAGTATTTCAGCTGCTGTTGTATGATTGGTTCAGACTATTTTATATCAGTTCCTGCCCCAAATAATAATAAAAAAAGCTAGGGGCCACTCACTGCCTATCATTTAAGCAGAAGCATGATGGGAATCAGATGCCTCAGCACAAATAAGTATGATGACAAAACAAGAACAAATTTGTGGCATTTCATGCTAACATGCAGGTAATAAATATGTGGTAGACCACAAAAAATTGTTATTATTTTTAATTAGGCTTCTCAAGCAAGAAGTCATATGTAACAGAAGAAATACCACTTCAAAAACAGTTTGCTTTTAAAGTTAAGTTCAATTCAATACAATTAGATCTATTTGTTTGAAAGGAATGTAGACATTGAGTTTTGATACTTTGACACTTACTGACCTTGCAAGTGAGGAGAGAATTTACAGAATTTGCTTCTTGGCAATTACAGATAATATGGTGACTAAAATCCATACTTACTGGCATCTCTTTCTAAGGAGTTTTCTGGAAAGGCTTTGTCTAAGGTAAGAACAAAGTCTGCAGCACCTCTTTCTTGTACTATATGGAGGAAATTAAGATAAACAGAAGATTTAGCTTGCTTGTATTTCTAGGCAACATGGCATATATAATAAATAAATATGGTAACAACTTAATACAACTGAGTCCATTAATCACCTTATGCTCAATGAGTTTCACTGACAACTTGGAAGTTCATGATTGAAGCACTCAGTGACTCAATCAGTTCATTTTGCCTGTGGTCAGTTTGTGTAGCAAGTGATAGATGTGAGAGCCAACTGGAAACCAAGACTGTGTCTCAGTAAAAATTCGTTATTCATGCATGTACCTTCAAGTTAAGGGAGATAACCAAGAGTTTAATTTACCCTTGAACTCCAAAGTTCTGATTATGAATTCTCCCCTCTAGATACTACATATTTCTTTGTAAATTAGTTTCAAGAATTTGGTGTTCGAGCAAGATAAGTGCTACCTTATGTTGGAATAGTCTCATGACCTTTTTTGCTGGAAAATATATGGATACTGTAAGGGGAAGTTACATGTTAATCACTTCTGGGGGTTAAAGGGTTAACTAAAGATATGTCTTGAGATCAAAGATTAACCCATGAAAAAAATTGTTCAAAAGGAAGTTCCTTTTCTTTCTAAGTACTGTGGGAAATGGGTCATTCTTATCTTCAATTACACAAGAGTTCTTCACCTGTCCCCACCTGCAACCCCTAATGTAAATTGCTAGTGTTTTGCACTAAACAGCTAGATAAGTCATTCTATCGGTATGTCACCCAGTTATTTAATTGAACAGCCTGTCAATAGGCAACTGACTCATTCCAACAATCAATCACGTGATCAGTAAGTCACTGAATTAGTGCAGTTATTGTAACTGGCTTGCCTGTGCATGCACAACCCTAAGGCATTGAGGGCAAGCAAGCAATAAAGATAGCAATTAAAACATGTTCTTGTTTCTTGGTGAATTATCTGCCTGCATTGAGCACTTTTTTGTGGTACAGACATGCTAATGAATCTGTGAATATGTTAGTAAGTCAATCAGACAGTCAGTCAACCAGTCAGCCAGTCAGCTGGCCCATTATTCAGTCAGTCAAATGATAATTTTTTCAGTCACTCAGCCTTCAGTAAGCCTACCAGCCTGAGCCAGTTAACCATTTAGCCCTTTATTTATTTAAGCAAGTGTTCAATCAAATAGTCAGTCAGTCAGTCTGTCAGTCACTCAGTCAGCTGCTCTGCCAGTCTGTCAGTCAATTGTTCCATTGAATAGAGGAGGTAAGTTTCTAAAGAAACTGTGGTGCTACCTCAGTGGGAGAGTATAGCAGGTAATTTAGTGTTAGTGTTAAATAAATTGGCACCCCCATAAAGAGTGAAAAGGCTGACATTTCGAGGGGTTGTCCACTCTTCAGAGCGAAGGGCCTCTGCTTGAAATGTCAGCAATTACTCCATTGGTTGGTTAGCACTGATCAGCCCAACCAGCCTGAGCCAGCCCACTAGCCATTCAGTCTTTTATCAGTCAATCAATAAATGAAAGTCAGCTGTTCAGCTGGTTAGCTATAATAGAAAGTGAAGTAATCAGTCAATCATTCAATTCGTCAATCTGTCAGCCACTTGGTCAATCAATTAACCATTAAGCCATGGAGGCAGCCCATAACTCTAAACTCTAAAAAAACCTGAATTTGCTGAACTGTGACGGATATAAAAGCAGCAAACTTGCAAGACAAAAATCTAACCTATAAATTTCAAATTCAATGATCCCTTTTACTCATGATTCAACATTATCCTATCACCTAAACTGGAAATTATGAGTCGATTCTAATTATAGTCACTGTGTAGACATCTTGCCAAGATCAGGTATAACATACCAAAAACGAACATATTTGTAACAAGCAGTTTCTTTAAATATTTCTTTACTTACATGTATCTGATTTAGATCTATATGGCCTACTTTCCCTTGCATCTAAACGTCACTTAACGATGGAAAACATGTCTCAAAGGCAAAAGATGCTGAGCTGTCTTCTTGTTCGGGATTTTCTATAACATTAGGCTCACCGCCATGTTGGATTCGACCACTTTATTCCCAGCTCTTCCCCGTCTTGGAAGAACGCGCATGTTTTGCGTGAAAGCTGCGCGGGAAATCGAGAACAAGCGTGTGAACCCACCAGGATTTAAACCCTGGAAAAAAATTGTGTTCAAATGCCCCACCCGATGCTTTGTTAAAGGAGAAATCCACCACCATAACTTTCTACTCGTTGAGCAAGCTTTGAAACCTGGACCATGTATACCTTTTCTCCTGAGCCATTCTCTTACGAAAGTAAAACGTTTACCTTAAATTAAACACCTCCATCTTTAAAGACATAACATTTATATTCGGCTGGAAAGACTTGACACTTACAATTCAAATTCCCCACCCCAGCCAGGCAAAGTTCGAACATCATGGTAGATTTTTGATTTAAGGAATTAAGCCCCGTTCAAATGGTCATGATGATGATAGTCGATGACAGTTTTAACTTTCATTCACTATCATTGACTATCACGTCATAACTATTTTCTCTTAATGTCGCACATCACTCCAATATTAAATATGAAATGAAGTCGAGGAACACTCTCCTTGCAATACACAAAATGGTGGATAGAATAAAAAACGAACTTGGTGTAAAAATTTATGTTTTGTAGAGGTGAATAAAAGGATGGTAAAAAATGAAGCGAATGGAGAGGGTAGGGAGAGCCGAAAATTTTTGATGGTTGGGAAAAAGATAACTTAGAAAAAAATCAAGGATACGGAACATTATTTGGAGAAACCAAAGATAAACAAGTTTCAAATTTGCCATAATTCAAGCCTTATCGCAGGTGTGAGGTTCTGTGTCTCCTGAATCCCTTTGATTAATATGTTTTAATAATCCCACATTCCTCATTTTCTTTCGAATGCAATCTTCATATCTATCAAATATTTTTTTGGAGGTTGCTAATATTCCAGTTTCTTTCAATGGCTTACCGTGCAGGGGAGGTTTTTTAGCGATGGAGTTCGATCGAGTGCTCAATATTTCTCCGTAACATGTTGAACAGCCCGCTAGAGTCAGTTTTTGATGGCAGGAGCAAATGAAAGTTGGAAATAGGAATAAAAGGGAGGGAGAAGAAAAGGAGAAGGAGAAGGGAATCCTTCCTCATCATTCCTTTGTCCGTGTGCTCCCACCCCTAATCACATATACGTGATCTGTTAACGATAGCGGGCTTGTAGCGTCATCTCGCCCTTCTCAACAAGGTGTGTATTTTGAGAGGAAGTCTTTCTGCAAAACCAATTAACCCTTTAATTTCTTTTTCCTTCGGTATCCCGTATCCTAAAAAGCATTTTGTGCCTACATCATGTTTTGTAAACTATAGTTTGATCATTTCTTGTGGTACTAACCACGGAAAGTTTACATAAACTTTTCCTAATCAGAAAATCCCTATACGGATCAGCTTTAGGTGCGTCACAAAAGGTATACCCCAACATAGGCAATGTCAGTGCCTTATGCCACCATTTGTTTTCAATCAGCTACTTCTGGACATATGCAATACAAATAGAGAATCCTTGACTGTGCTCTGTTCTGTTGTAAAGCACGGAGGGAGCTGGCTACAGTACGAAAGAAGTGTAGGGAGAAACACGAGACGTTGTCAGATGGCGTGACAGCTTTTGCTCAGCTCTATGCTTTGTATTCTGATAGAGCACGCTCTTTCAACCAATGGCAGTGCGTTTTATACCCGAACTTTATTAGAAAGGAAAGTGGAGGGCAGATAGCCAGGCTCAGACATAAACTTAAAAAACTTTTTGTGTTTTTCATGAATGAGTTAACTTGCGTCTTACAAATTAGTTGGTATAGTTTCGTCTTGACAATTTAGAGCCAATTCTAACCAGAGATCAGGCTCTATTTAACCCTTTCGACTAACCTACGGTATTTTGCCAGTTTATACATAAGAGTAACAACATTCCAATATTCCATGAAGGGCTAGCTCTAGGAACGTCAGCTTTGAAGCCCTTTACGGTGTGCAATTTACTCAGTTGATACTACCAAACTAGCATAACAATATTTCAGTCCATTAAAATTGCACTGGTAGACTACTTTTCATGTTTTGAATACATGCATTCCTCAATGCTTGTCAATTACCATTTTGAATTTTGCTGTTCATTGCAACTTAGGCCGTCGTTAACTTTTCTTTTACGCAATTAATTTAACGAACAAATTTTACGATTTTGCATTAGGCGTGATACTTTTAGATGAATTCGCTAATAAATATCTTCGTAGTAAATTAAATTCAAACTTATTTCATTGCTTTTCTTACAACTAATATCTTAATTGCGCGATAAAATCTACAGACATCTTTCGATGTAATTAATCACCCCTGTCACCGGGGTCATTTAAAGAGGACAAAACAAAAATCACTTTGTAAAACACATCAGTGATTTCAGATTAACTAAATTGTGTCAATTAGTGCTTCAAGCCAAAATAACCATAGATGACAAAGAATTTAAATGGAATTGCTCGTTTCGTTTAATAAGACTGAACAGAATTGTGCAAGTTAACACTAGTGTTAGTGTAAAGGTGTGGTTAAATTTCTAATTCCTCAAGAATCAATTTTCAGGTAATGTAGAAAATAAGTTTTAACTGGAATTACGTAGCGTTTCTTACATTTGATTGATTAAATGTTTAATCGATTGTTCTTTCACCCATTATTATCAAAAATCAACCTTGTAATTCGGTGAGTATATATCTTGCTATTCAAGGTTTAAGAGCTGGAATATCTGCTTTCATTATCATCTTCAGTTAATTGTATGACCACACTGGTAACAATCGTTTTTTCAAGAACAGAATACAGCAGCTTCCGGACGAGGCTTTGCTGGCAGCGTCTCTTTCTCCGTGATTTTCAAGCAAGTCCTTGTTCTTGGCCCACCTTTCCTCAAGAGCCTTGGCTTCCTTCACGAAAGGTTCATTAACCGTTGGGTCAATGGTCTCGTTCTCAATCTCCTTGCTAAGCTGGATGACGCGGTTTACCTTTGACTGTTTTTCGTTGACCTCTCCCAGTCGTGCCTGAAACCAAAAGTTCAAGTTCCGGGCTATAGATAAACTATGTCAAAGTAACTCTGCAGAAAACATATCTAATAACCAAAATTAATCTATCCGTCTGTCCATCCGTCCGTTCGTCCATCCCACGCTCAATCCTTTCAATAATGATCCTCTCCCGAGTGACCCGTCAGTCAGTTTACGGACGATAAACTGAAAATTTCAAATTTCGGATGGATATTCAAACAGTTTGCTGACCAACATTCTAAATTTGGTGATTTCCTGTCGAAACATCTGATCACGACCACCTTTTCTATGTAGCTGAATAGATTGCAAAGATCAGCGCTTAATTTTAATAAATTATAGGGCTGTCTGCATACTTACGTCAATTTTCTGCTGCACCCTGGAGGCCTTTTTTGGATCCATGTCTATTCGTAGTGAACCCACAAGTTTTTCAGTTTCGTCCATCCATGCATTCATCGCCTTGCTTTCTTTCTTCAACTCTTTCATTTTCTTGGTTATGATCGACTAAAAATGTACTAAGTACTATTAGTTTGTGGCATGAGAAAAGAATCGAAATGATTAAACAATAAAAACAAGCAAACAAACAATTTAAGAGCATATGTCTTTCACCTATCTATATTCATGACAACCACTCCTTGCCTCGCTTGCAGTGAGGTTCGACATCTCACTTGCAAGTATTTCATCTGCCTTTAGCCAATAATTTATTATCTTACCTCGTACGTAACTTTTCTCTGAAATAGGTGTCGTTTTGGTTCCACAAATCCTTCATCAGAATCTCCATTAACCTGATCGGGAGCTGAGTGGGCAACTGATACACTGGAGGGCACCATAATCTCTTGGACAGCAGTAGAATGCTCAATCTTACGCAAGGAATCTGCGATCCTGAGAGGTAGAATGCGTTTCAGTTGAGGGTCGTAGAACCCAAACCAAAATTTGTTTACAGAGGCCAATCAGAATTAGATATCGGAGTAAATCACACGAAACTGCCTAAAACGCTATAAACAGGTGGCTAAGGCATTTGACTGGTTTTGATGGTGCCATGATTTTTCTGGACCTACCATAGAGAGAGAAGTGAAGCAGGACTTATGTTATTTCGGATTACGTTTGGAACTAAGAGCAGTTTAAAGTGGGAGTCAAAAATAATCCATGATTTCTTTGTTCTTGCCTCACTTAGGTCGGAATACTTGCATCACTTTCTCAACCAATCAGATCCAAACTAAAATCAATGGTGACTCGGTTACTAGCATTTTCGTGCATTTCATGAATTTTGCCTGTTTTTTTTTTTAATTTTTTTTTCGAGTTCTCATTAACTTACGATTATGTTGATATTCTCCGATTGGCTATTGTAAATAATTTGGTTTTGTTTTTCGAAACTCATTTGAAAACTGATCTAATTGAAGATTTCTTTAGTATTTTTATAGTGATGAAATTTGTTCATGTTGAATTTCTCATCTAAGTAAGAAAATTTTTTTTTGCTCCAAACCTTTTCTTTTTTTCGTCAGCTTCAGCTTTCAGTCGTTCCAGCCTGTCCTCTAGTTCATCTGTTTCATGTGTAATAGTCTCACCAGTTTCCTCGGTTACCAGATCCCGCCGCTGAACCTCTCTGGCTACATCCACAGCTCCACCCACCGAAACCTCATAAGACCCTATCTTGTCCATGATTTCCTGAAGGTTTAAAATCAAAGAAATCATAGGAGGTACTGATAAATTATTCTGAGGAGTTGAAAGAATAATTGGTTCTCAGCAGATTATTGTGGATTGTATTCATTAGACGCTTGAACAGCCAGTTTCCATTGTCACATTGGTCATTCCCACACTGGAAATGCTGACACATGTGATCACTTTGCAGACTCTTGAAATCCCCTCCTTAAGGCAAAAACCGCTTACATTTCTTACTTTGGGCTTTTTAGAAACAAGAAGTGCCGTCGCATTTATTACTGGCCAATCAGAAGGTCCGAGTCGTATGTCTAAATTTACTGGCAATACTGTGATTCAAGTTTAACTCCTCTACTCCCTGTGACCAGCCCAACGGTTTTCGTACCTTGTGTTTCTGTTCCGAGTCACCCAGAGACTGCCAATCGCCATCTTTGATTTCGATTGATTTGATGTCCTCTTCAAGGTCATCAAGGTTTTCATTCACTCTCCCCATCCACTCTCCACCCATGATCAAAATGGCTTGTACCAAGCTAAAATGCGCGCATAAAGATTAAAAAATGATGGAAAAGAAGTCAAATGAGGACAAAATTATTTCCCTGAAAATATTTTCTAAAAGATTTTTCCCTACCTTTGTACAATTTTATCTACTTGTTGGTTTATCAGAATAGAGAGAGGGTAGATGTAGCAAGGGAATTCGTCTCCGCATCACGTCTTTAAAAGGGAAAGCTTCAAATCTCACTCTTGCATTCAAGTTTTCAGGGAAATATTGAGCTTTTGACAAAATGACAGAAGAAATCAACGGATCACGTTTATTTCATGAGGCAAATAACGCCTCACGCTGATAAATTATTTACGAATCACGTCTGCCTCTGTAATATTCACGCGTCATTTGCTAATTTTGGCCTCAATCACGTGTCCCTTATAAACTCTTTTCCACACTCTGGAGAGATATTGCATTACTAGATTAAGATTAAGGAGGGGGGGAGGGGAGAGAAAAGAATTTGCGTTGGGTATGTGCCGCTGGCCTTTCAGAAACTCCAGCCTAATATAGCTCATGCTGTGTCCGATTAAAGACCCCATCTAATTCTCGAGGTCGTTCATTGTCCCTCCAGGAAGAAGAGGGGTCCAAGTTTACGATACCCTAATGGCAGTTAGAGACATTAACTCAGTCTGATACCAGACTAACAATGGGAGCTAGCTGGAAGAGATTATTTAGGTGATTCATTCATAAGCTCCTGCTAAGTTGGTCAGAAGGTTTCCGCTAGATATTCGACAATTTAGCATGTTTACATGTTTTTGTCAAATAACATCTAGCGGTAAAAAAATATCTTGACCTTCAGAGGTCAAGTGACACGTACCGGTCTTTGTTAACGTCATGAGAACGCCACATCTCCTCCCATCTGGAGTTCAAATCGCTAACTTTTCTTTGCAGCCTATCGCGAGCTTCTTGTTTCATCAATGTTTTTCCCTCAGTTGCTTCAAACGTTTCCTTCACCGAACGAAATGAAGCATCCTCCTTGGACATTTTTCGTTCCAGATCCTGGAAAATGGTTCAAATATCAAGAGAGATATACCAAATACTAGTTAAGAGGAAGAGAAATAGTACAACCCGAAATCCTCGTGAGACTCGAGTCTCTGCAGGTTCCAGTTTGCTGTGGGATTGAGTACTAGATAACCCCCAGGCGACTGAGGTCATTAACTAAGTTTCAATGTAAGTTTGGGCCTTTTACATCAAATATCTCAAATTTCAAAAGCAACATGTGAAGATATATGGAAGGTAGGGAAAAAAACTTTTTTTATTTAGTATCTGGGAAAAGGTAAGAAAGGCCTATTTTTAACTGTGAGACAGCATAAAATCTCTTTGTTCTCTTTAAAATGATTCCCGTTCCATTCGCTTCTAGAATAATTATAGATTGTTTTGTGCATCTTTAATTTGTTTTCAGCTGAACATATCATTAAAATTCATTTCTCTGTGCTTAGCTGAGAATTTCATTGCTATTAACGCTAGCTTTATTTAGGTGTCACCTATTCTGTCTTGCTACTAGCTTATAGATTAGAAGGATAGTAGAAATATTATTGAGAAAACCGACATTTAATTAAATAAATAGCGACGCAGTAACATAACAAGACAAGCGTACCCCAAACCGCTCCCTCTTACCCTTGAATTCTTTTTTCTGTTTAAATTTTTTTCCTTTTTTGCGGAAAGGAGGGGGTTATTTTAGGAAAAAATTCTCAAGTATTTTATATAATTTGATATATAATAGGTTCGTCTAAATACGTTTTTTTTACAAGCGGCGTTAGTCATGGTATGGTTATTTTTGTTCTTTTTTTTGGTTACCTGTATTTCATCGAGCTGCTCCCTAACTTCTTTAATGTTTGAACCAGCAGCTGAAAACTTTTGCAGCGATTCTTCGTCCAGCTCATTCAGCGCCTTCGAACAAAGGTCTAGCGACGAATCAAATGCTTTCGTAGTCTCTTCGTGAATCCTGTCGGATGAATAATTATGAAATTAGCCCTAAAGTATCATACATGAGGTCCAAGGTTCGAGCCACAGACGGACCAACACTTAGGGTCCAAGATAAGTGAGGAGAATGCGCTGCCTTTGCTATGACATCTGCAAACGGTTAGGCGTTCTAATCATCTCGGATAAGTACGATAAACCGCTTAGGCCCTTCTTCTACATCGTATCTGTGCTGATTAGCAGGGTAAGTTAAAAACCCAAGCATTTCTCCAAAAGAATAGGGAAAGTAACTCCCAGTGTTGTGGTATAGCCTAGTTTCCAAAACAAATCCTTTTTCCAATTGGGGGCACTAGAAAAAATTCCATTCAAAACTTGGTAAGTGCCAAAGTCCCCTGCCAACTATTGTAAAGGTATTGTCCTCGTGCAGTGGTGACAAAATGCCATCGTCTCAGTTCTTGTCTCCAGCCTAACATTGAGATTTTCCTCTGCTTTAGCAAACACTAACCTTGCTTTACCACCCTCTGTCCTAGTTTTTAGAATCCACCTATCTTCTTGTGCAATAGTCTTCTTGACAGCTGCCATGGAATCTTTTACTCTCTGCTCATTGCTTTTAGTTTCATCTTCTTTATGGAACGGTGAAATGATCTTTGGTGGTGGCTTGATATGAAAGGGATGGGGGAAGGCATTGTAAATTCAACATGGTGCAATAAATGAATTACTTAACAAATAGATTCTATTAAGCCATGCGCCTACTCAGTTCAGAATGATCTTAGGCTTAACACTTTGCATTAAAGATAAATTGCGCCGCCTAGCCCATACCTTGTGGTTTGGTTCCAGCGAAGCCTCCACGATGGCCGTTTCTGTCTTTTCCACCGTTTCTTTGGGAACGTTTCTTAGTTCATGCATACTGTTATGTAACCTGTTGACAACACTTAATATCAGACTCAGAAAAAATTTTCCTTAAATAATCTTGTATCCTAATTTCTCATAAATTTTGATTCAAAGGTTATACTGTAGTGAAAAATTAAAAGTCATTTACTCTTCGAGGTTGAAGGGTTGAATCGACCTTCCAAGAAACCAGAAAAAAAGTTCGAGGTAACGCAGTACCACCCGCCTTTTTTGATATTATTTACTTACAGCACAAGCATATCATGCCCCCTCCCAGATATAAAACTCAGCGAATCAAAGTTGTAGTTCTGAGTTGATGCAGTGTACGGTTTCCACTCAGAGGTTTCCTTTAAATTCCAGTTACTTTCTTTGAGTTTGATGATTCGAGATGACTTATTAAAAGTGAAAAAGGAAGAAACCACATGGAACGTGGATTATGGTATTCGAAATATCATAAACTTCGATATCTGAAGGGTATTTAGAGGGTGGAAATAGCTCAACATCGCTTGTACTCATTGATTGCTAGCTTCTTTCGTTTTTATTCCCTTACCTGTTCTGGGTTCCCATGAGCCTGTCAATGAGAGTTGTGTATCTGGTGTTCAATTCTTCTTTGTATCGTTCCACCCTTTCTGCATCTCCTATATCTAAGCGGCTACTTTCTAGAAGTGAGTCAGCTTCCAGAGCCACTTCCTCTAAATTGGGTTTGCGATCTTTCACATTTTTGAGCTGCTCCTGGAATAAGTCACATTCATTACTAACTCCGCGAGATTTCCATTGTTTACTCGTTAACCATTGTAACGAAGAAGTTGTCAATTTCGTTATTCCTTTTAAATGGAAAAATGGCCTTGTAGTTGGAAATCTCATATATCGGACAGATGTTACTTTCGTTACTTCTCATGCAGCAAAACTTACCTATTGTTTTTTATGGAGGGGCGAGGGGGGGGCTATACTTCGGACTCTTTGTTTTTCGTGCTTGTTTTTCTGCTTTTTCTTATTGTTCTTAGTGTCATGTGTTATTTGTAGCTTTGTTTTCGAAAAGTACCTGATTTTTCTCCAAGTGTTCCTTGATGATAGCTGATGTACTCCCAGGGCTTTTTTCGTCCAGGACCTTTTCGTTAAGGTGCAGCCAGGTGTTTAAGGTGTCATATTTCTCATACCAATTATTCAGCTTCTTGTATTCACGATCCACCTCCAAACCAACAGATTCAAGACTGAAAGGAAAATGATCTCTAGGATTTAATCGGTAACTTGGAAATGAAATGTGAGCTAGTTCCTCGCAGTCAGTACTTGGTGAGCTAGTTTGTTCTACTGAACTTTTCGCTCATCCTTCCATGAAATCTATATACACACCTCGGTCCATTCTCGACACAATAGGCCTTTTTCGAATTACCGTTGGCCTCATTTTCAAAGCGAGTCCTGGTGCTCATCCCTTCATATGATTGTAACTTTTCGTTCATATGCAAAGTAAATTCTTTTCATACCAATCGTTGAGCAACAGGCCTCGTTTTAAAAAGAGGCCAAATGTAATTCGGAAATGGCTTATTGATGATGGGTATACCCATCACATAATCATTTTGTGACCTGGAAGTTAACACGCAAAGCTGGCTTAAATTAGCGCTGGGATACAAGGTAACAAAGTGGGTTGCTACAGAGTTCATGTATCTTACTTCGCTCTCAGGCCTCGTAAGGGCCACTGTGCTTTCTCGCTCAAACGATGTCTTTTCTTTCACGGCTCATTACTCTAGGCACTACTAAGGTGACCTACTTGCAGTATATCAGGTAGGATACCCTATAAAAATTAATCACTCTATTTCCCTTAAAGGTACCACTTTGGAAATCTTTTTTGCCCACTTACTTTCACACGTCACGTTTTTCGATCACATCAAAGTAGAAAGAAGAAGTTTTTAAGGAAAAGCATGAAATTACTTTTACCTGCCACTTTTGTTGATCACATTTTGACAAAGTGAATTCCACCTGATCGTTATGCCTTCCAGTTCTTTCGTTATTTCATCATTCTGATTAGAGTCTCGTTCTTGAAATATTTTGTTTACCAGACTTGTGAGGTCATCTGCTGGCTTGATTTGATTCACGATGTCCGTTAGTAAGTTCTGTAAAGATTGGGATTAAGGTGACAATGACGTAATTTCTGGCACACTTAACAAATAATATCTCCATCCTCATAGTCAACTAACAATGCATTGATAGTTTGAAATGCAATACGAAATTTAAGAATCACACTCTCACAATGTATAACTCTCACAATTTAGAACATATTTCAAAAAACCTCAAGCCTGATTTTGTTTGTAATAACAATGGTTTCGAATGAACGAATATTCCGAAGCGTTGAAACGTTTTTAAGTAATGTGCCACTGACACGTTGGTCACTGTTTTAAAGAAGGGATAAGCGCTCACGCATTTTACCATTCGTTGTCAGTTGCGACACTTTGTTCTTCTTACGTAAAATGCACTATCCAACGGCTCAAGCGATTATGAAATGCATCTGAGTACATGTAGTATTCAACACGAAAACATGGAGGTAATGTCGCTATGATACTATGACATCTTTATATGTGGTCGTTGCCTGAACATTAAACTGAAATGATAATCAGAATATGAAAGGAACAAAACGAGTATGTGAAAGATATATGGTTGATTAAGGAATGAAGATGTTCAGAAATCATGACGAAAGACATTTACCTCAAGGATCAGAATATGTGATAAAACCTAACCACTAAGTTCCTATTTTCCCCTGCATTTTGATGTTATATATTTTAGAAATCAGTGATACTGCTGGTCAGAGTTTGCTTACCTGATAATCTTCTGTGTCATTTATCAGCTGATAAAGCAAAAGATGTTTAGGATTTTTCTTTTTGGACCAGGAAGGAAGAGCCTCTTTGATGGAGCCAATAAAAGAAATTTTTCTCTGTTTTCTATGATTCTGGATCTCCTTCAATTTCTCTAAAGATCTTTAAAAGATAATATTGAAGATAAGAGAGGCGACTCGTTTGCTGTTTTATTTGACACTTGTCCATGTGAGGTCGCGTTTTTCAAGAACTCAAATGGGCACTTCCGGTTATTAAAGTGAACCCTGCTATGTGACAAGTATGAATTTCTTTCCAGAAGTTCAAAGCACTTTTCCAACTTTTCAAACAGCTTAATAAACTATTTAAGAATCGTGTCTTTCACCGACCAATAATAATTATATACTGGATAAAGTAAATGCTGATAAAGTTCTGAATGCACCCCCACCAACTGCAGTCAGCTCCGACATTACGACATTAGAAGGATTTACTAGCTCGATCATCTATGCCCACATCTATCAAGGGACCCAAGTAACACTTTCGTTTTGAAAATTTTTTCAAATACTTTCTTGGCTCAGTCAAGAAGCACACCTACTTCTGGTATAAGTGGTTGCATTACATCGGAAACCCTAATGCTAAAAATAATGACGTCAGTGTGAATAAAAAAGTAGTAACTTAGGGAGATACCAATTTTTATACTGAGCAGTTGTCAAAACAGTTTTAATTGGTAGAGGGGTCGCTGAAAGTCCACGAAACACGGGCAATAATGAAAGCCATTTAAATTGGCTGTTTACAGTTTTGAAGATTCATACCTCGACAATCTTCTTTTGCAGTCATTCAAATAGGGCTGCCAATCAAGAATGTACTTTTTGTCTCCATCCTCGTAAGCAATTGTTTTGGTGGATCCCTTCTCCTAAAAAAAAAAGATTTGAACAAGTACTCTAACATAAAGGCCCTAAAGACAACAACAATTGCTGTGTGTTAACAAGGCACAGCGAAATCTACTCACTAGAGACTTTAAAGATTCACATTTCTTAGCTCTATCCTCTAGGCCTCGTAGTGTTCGGCTAAATGCCGCCACTTTCCCTTTGAATTCTTCGGCAAATTGCTCAGCACTGTCGAAAGAAGCAAAATTTAGGGTTAGAGTTCACATTATTATCCGAGCTCGTTAGCTGTATCTGTCAGCTAGCTAATGATTTAGAGCATGGATTTACGAATCAAGGCTTTAGCGTTTGAAGACAGTGGAGATAGATATCCAGTAAGTACATAAAGTCAAAGGATCCAGATGAAATAGCACTTTTTCTCAAAGAGGAGGGAGGAAGATGCCCCTGTTTTAACTTACAGATGAAATTTGTTGAAAATCATTACGTCATTATGGGCAACAACTCGCGTGAATTAGAGTGAAATTTTCCGAAAGAGAAAGTACACCAACGAAAACGGAAGAGAGCTGAAGCAAAACAGCAAGAGTAGGCAACTGAGTAGACGTATTTTCCAAACATAATTAAATTACTCATGCAGACTTTAAAAAAGGCAATCAAAAAGTTAAGCGGCAGTCAAATTGGCTCTTTCTGCAAGCGAGCTGATAATTATTTTTAATTGATAAACTTCAAACAATTTGATAGAATGGTTGATCGTCTCAGTTCCGATCTCCTTTTGGCATCAGTCGCAGAGTTTATTAAGTCGCGTGATGATATTTGGAATAAAGTACCTTTCCGTAATTATTCTGCGGTTTGTACCAAGTTTTTCTCATTAATTATGCTAAACTAGATTTTCTAGGAAAAGTTAGTTACTTGCGATCGACTACAAATGCAGTTGTCCTTCTTCTTATAATAATTTTTCTGAGGAAGATTATTATAAAATCGTGGTTGCATTAGGTAGAGGTATGAAGGCATTGTGCGATCTGTTCATTAGGATTACAATTGTTTTTTCCAATCCATTGAACATTTAGCTTTTGGAAAACCCTGGAACCTTTGCTCGGCTGTCTAACATACCTTTGATACCCGCAAATTAGTGTCTACGAAACCAGTTGTTGTAGTATACTATCACTTTTTGAACTTCAAATAGCACTTACCTTAAGAATAATAATAAGAGTACTGACTATCGATGCATCTAATGTTTATAAATTCCAACCCAAGTATATTTTGTTTAATTGAATAGTTCCCAGTATGTTGAGGTTTCTCTTTTTGCATGCGGTAAGCCAATCGTTTTAAGTCTTCGCTCAATTTTGGTCAAAAATGAAGACATATCTTTTGAGAGTTTAAAACTTAATTCGATTAACAATGGCAAACAACTGTGAACAGATTCCTCCTCTTTTCCGGACTTTGTACAAGTCTTGGTGACCTTCACCCTATTAAAAGCTCTTCGAGAAAACAGCGGACAGAGAGCAGCATAATAATAAATACTAATTGAGAAAAGTCAGGATCGAACAGGTTTCTGAGTGATAGGGCTATGAAAATTATCAGCATGACCCATGTCGATGGGAAAGTAACAAGAACGTGCTGTCGGTCCTCGTTCAAAGGCCGTTTTCAGGCTAAGTTAATTTCTCAAACTCTCTTTGTCTTTCCACAGATCAATGAGATTTTCTATTGATAAAGAATAACATACAAACATAGCGAAACATCTTAAACAACAGCTGTGCTCCATGTTCTTATGAACGACTGCTGATGACGAGTGATCTGGATAAGTCTTTAATTCAACTGCATTTATCTAAACACCACGGCTAAGAAGCTCTCAGATCAATTTAAAAGTCCTGTGATAACTTGTGTATCGATGCTATTGTGATATATCTATTCATTGATAGCCTTGCATCAATATTTTTCTTGCATAAGTAAAATTGGCAAACTTGTTGCTTAATGCATAAGTAGACAAATTTCATCGGAATAACTTTCGATTATTCCTGTTTAGCTTACCCTGTCTTAACTCGTAAATCTCTACATACCGAGAGAACTCGTGCTGTACCAAGTTTGACTGTGGTTATTTATCGCTTTGTCGAGCTTGCAAACGGGCTTTGTAGAATTAACTTACCTTTTAACCTTGTACTTCTGCGATGACATATTCAATAACACAAACTTGGTTGGCTCTATCGCTCTCTTGAAAAAGGAAACTTGAAGAACAACTGAAGAACTAAGTAGAATTTTCGCTGGTCTCAGTTGAGATTTGCATACTGGGAGTAAAGAAGCAACACATTCCACTAGGTGTGCCTTGTTTGCATTTGAAAGAACGTGATCCAGTGCTTCAATCTTGTCGCAATTAACGTTCTGGATGAAAGACTTCTATTGTTAACTTCTGTTGTTAAGATGTAAGGCTAAATTTAAACTGCACTGAGTTTGCAAGGGACTAATGACATGAAGGATCGATACAATGAGAACTTGACGCTATGCCAATGTTCGTTCCCGAGAGAAGGTCCGAAAAAACAGCGTGCATTGATCAAGTGCTCGTCGAAAGGTTTTTGCACTTCATTTAAGCTCATTTTCGCTATTTAGGACAGCGGAACTCTTTCGTGATGTAAATATAGTCGTTTACATTCCAAAAGCCATTCAAATACGCTGAACTCTGCAGTTTCTTTCATCCTTCTATTACGCAAAAGTTTCGCTTTCTAGCATTCTGCCTGAAGGTATCCAATAGCCAAGAGCAAAAAGGGACAGCGGGTGGCTATGATTATATGCAGAGTAGATTCTGCTTTCTATACTTGGCTAATCTTCCTTAATAGACAGAGACAACTTTTAGCTATGAAAGGGCCTCAGGGGTTGCTGAGCATCAAATCTCGCTGTAGCAGCAAAAAATACTACCAGTGCTCTTTATCTCCCTTACCAAACTTCTTCAGCAACCGTGCAGTGTTTTGCTTTTTTTTTCTTATGTAGCAGCTCCGTGATTAAATAAAGAAGTGGAACAGAACACGGAGAAACCCTTTCCATCCACAACAAACTAACAGGTTTAAGGAGCTGTCGAAAGACGTGGAAAGGCTTAGGCATCTTAAAATTTCATGTTCCCAGGCAAAAATAATCACCCTTTTGGGTTTTTTATACAATTCCATGTCAATCTACCTCATGGTCAGGCATATCACACCTCTGGTTAATGTCAAATCAAATTCAATTTGAAGGCACTTTCTTATAGGAATGAAGATGGACGGATATACTATTGCAAATTACTTAACGAAAAAAGCGTAACACACTCAAGTGCTTACAGTGAGAGAGTTCAATCATGTAAAAACAAAACAAACTCAGGACACCATAATTCTGAATAAGTCACTCGCGACGTTCCTGTCAAAGGCGATTTTATTCCCATTTTATTTAGAGAAATCAGGAGATCGAAGTTATACGCATTATGCTGTAATTACTGAAACAAATGTCTCATTAAGAACGAAGAATTTGCCTTTGCCTTCATCGGATTATTGGTCACAATGTGATTCAACCGTCTGATGAACAAAAAAATGAAACAACGTATATTAGAAATTAAATTGTATTCAAATTCATTTAGACTCATCTCCCATTAAACTTGAAAGTAAATAACATTTATGGTAAGAGCGCTTGCGGAATGAATTAAGTTTGTTTCAGAACATTACGATACTTCCAATCTAAGCTAAAACTTAAACTACGTATTGCAAAAAAAATCGATCTGAAAGTTACCTTGAAATTTATTTTGGGTCGCATAAGGCAGCAAACGTGGTCACGTGGACAAGTTTTACCATTGACCTGAAGAGACAAGGAATCGGGAGGACATGATGTTTTCACACATGTAGCCCATTTGGTGTAAATTTGTGTCCCACAGTCACCGCGTGCTGGAAATGCTAGGATTAAAAGAAAAAAAAAAGGTCAGCAATTAAGAGCTTATAACTGGTTGCGCGTTCATCAGCGGTTCGCACGTGTGCGAGATGCAATTGCTATAGTTTTTAGTACGAAGTGTAAGATTACACCTTTTGGCTCGATTATTAAGATCGTCCATATTTTCCTTGGTCTGCAACTTGGCGCCCTCTCAAAGGGGCAGATTTTCCTTCACAATAAGTCCAGTAGAATTTTAAATAAGTAAGCTTAAGATAATTAATTTTTTTTTAATTTTTCAAATCAAATTGAGCTTGTCTTCTTACCTAATAGTGCCATCGAGAGAAGGACAACTGCAAAAGCTAAAAACTTCATGCTGTGTATGACACAAGGACACTGGCGATTCTGGAATGAACAGAGTACATGGGAGGATCAAAACACCAATTTTGTGTTATATGAGAAGGTAATATTTTAGCATCGATCATATTTTTCTCATTTCGGTTTGAGAGGGGAACATTTGAAAGTTCTTAATAACTTATTAAGCCTTAGGATGAGTGAACAACAGAAATTTTCCATGGAATAAAAGCGAACTTTTTATGTGATGATTGAAGTCTTTTAATAGCCAATTCTTAGCACGCTACATGGTAACCAAAATTTGCGAATTCATGGTAATGTACTCGTGGGTGTTAAGCTCAAATGACAAACTGTAAAAAATAAACTGTACGAGGCACGCTTCCCAAAAAATTTAATAAGTAATAGAAAGCAAAGTAGCCCCATTCGATACTTATTAACATTGGATTATTGACAATGGAAATAATTTTTTGCTGAACTCCACCTTAGATGTAATGTTTGCAGATATACAAGCGAATCTTTGGCTTTTACAAGTCTATATCTATAAAATGCAAGTGTAACAGAGTTTTGGGGGGTAAAAATGACATTTTAGGTAACGTTGACTGAAGTATGGATATTGATTAGAAATCTGAACTAAAAACTTACGTTCTTTTATATTGCTTGGGAGAGAACAAGTGCGAGCAAGTATCAGGCAAGACGACAGATATAAACCTAAATGAAATAAAAGCACTGAACAATTTTCCCCATTCAAACAATCCGTTATTTTTCGGGTTTTGACCATTAATTTCAGCTTACATCAACAGGTAGTCTTGGTCGCAGAAGTGCCCCTTTAGCTGGGATAAAAGAAGTAACAATATATCCCATCTGAAATTTTCTCAACTAAGTAAATTTCAAACGTAATCGCTTCAATGATTTGACACATAAAGATAAAGGCGAAAATTGGTACCAGGTTACACGTGGTAATTATATGCATTTTTTTGTTTGTGGTGATTTAATACAATAGCTATTTGTTGAAAAAGGTTTTACGCAGGGATGGCTTTCAAACACAAACATGGTTCTAAATGATAGGGGTGAATTTCAAGCTTTACGTTGCAGCTCACTTTTTGGCCAAATGATCGAGAAGAAAATTAGATAATAAATCTGTAAATCAATGAAATGTAACAGGTAAGTAAGAAACTGTCGGCATAAGATTTTGATAAGCGAACGTTATAGTTTTTCTTTGACTTCGAAACTATTGATAATAGCAGACAGCCCCCGAAATGTCAGCTATTCCAGGGGATTCTTATGGCGTTTTACTCCTCCTACTCAACGCTTCACTAATCAAGGGCCTAGCTGGGCGGGAGGGGGTTCCTGGAGTGTCAGGGACACCCCCTCTTTGTAAGCCATTTTTTAAACAACCTAAAATATTCAGGTGGCGAAAACTGGTGAGAACCCCCTGTTTGACACAGTATGCCCACCTCCCCCCTCCCCCCTTTGAAAAATCCCGGAGACGCCCTTGGCCCTTGTTAATAGTTAAGAAACTGCATAGAAATTTTCTGCGATATGGTGCTGCTGATTCCTTAGGATCCCTTTATTTTGTTAAATCTCTTTAGTATTTTTAAGAAAGATAGTGTGAAAAGGAGAACAATAACTGAAAAGTGAGTCATAAAGCATGTTACCACATTCTATTTATCATTAATGGCAACTTAGCCAGGATGGATTAGTATCTCATTTAACAAACCAGGAGTGATGTCAAATACAAAGGGCAAAAGGAAACATTGAGAGGAATATCAAAATGGGCGGGGAAAAGAAATGCAGAGAAGTTTGCCCTTTTTGAAACTTGCCATGGATTGTGTAAAACCTTCTTATCCCATCATAACCTCAATGCGTGGGAAAGGCTTATTTGTGAGGTGTCATTTTAGAAATGAGTGTATCGAACCAACCAATGTTCAGTAGAGTTTCGATTAAATCATTACCCTTCTGAAAATTTCAGAAGTTTGTTTTTGGGGAAAGTTTGCATCAAATTGAAAAACAGGTGACTTCGTAATTCGATTACCAGCAGCGTTGCAGAAGTTGAGAAAACGCTCACGCTTCTTTTTCCTATTAGCCTTCATTTTCTGAGATTTTCTGGGATCAATGTCAGTATCTGGACAAATGCGTGCCTACCTCTCCCTTCCCTAACTCAACAGCAGTCAAACTGACAACGAGAGAGGGTAAAGGTTGGATTAAGGGAAGGTTAGGTGCATAGTTGCTCAGATACTGACTTTGATACGCATAACTACTATTTATACACGCACAAGAGTTGAAGCGATAGACGTCAATCAAGATTTGCAATGTAATAAACAAATAATTTTAATTGTTTCACATTATCTAAATCATGAAGAAAATCCTTTTAAGCATGGAGCATTGAGGACCTGAAGAACAGAAAAAGCAACAGCATCAATAGGTGGTCCAACAATGCATTTTCTTAACCAAAATAGACACTCCTGAGCTAGCTAGAAAGGTTACAAACTGATCCGATGTCGGAAGTGATCAAAGAAACAATATCAAATATGACTTCTCCGAATAAAGTGCTTTCTTTACATCGGTTTGCATTGGGTAAATTCAAATTCTGTGGCACCTTTGATATGACATTATCGGTAATGGAAACCTTTGATATGATTGATATTCAAAACAAAATGTTCCCAGTAAACAGTAAAAGCAACACCAACAAAAAAATTATTAACGATAATGACAATGATAGTGACAAGGATAATGATACCACTACTACTAATGATAATGACATGAAGTGTTTTAATGTAAGAAATATGCCTCAGGAGGCCATGTCAGTTTTTCTTCAATACATCCATTTTGGACTGAATTCCTATCCAAATTAAGGGATTTTCGACAAGGTCGATCACTCTGTGGAGTCTTAAACGCCTTATGCTGTGCAATCATATTCACTTCTGATTGACAGGATGAAAACGTTATAATTTCGTACGCATGCTTCCCCTACATGAATTGATCCAACTAAATATAATTGTTTACCTCCATTGAGGCTGTTGGTTCTATCAGGCAGCAAATCCTTTTTAACGTTGTACTCGCACCATATTTGAACCTATCTTCGCAGTCACGGTCTTCGTCTTTTA